AATTTGGGGTCGGGGAATCGTTCAGTGGCTGAGAGGATCTCAATCTGGTGCTGGTCGATGAGCTTCGTGAGCTGGGGGAAGTGCTCGATGGCTTTGGTCTCCACCCAGCCCACATTGGCCGACGTGACTATCATGACCTTGCCCTTAGAGACCGCCACGCGCAGCAGCCGACTCGCCACTTCGTCAAGCCGCCTCACCAGCTGAGGGTCGTCGCTGCCGCGCCCAACCATCCCCCGCAACGCCGCCGTGTGGCACAAAGTGTCGTCCTGAAACGAAGGCAGAGAAAAAAGGGATGCCATTGCAAACACGCCTCTGTGCGACGATCTCCCTCCCTCTCTCCATTGCTCTCTCACCCAGTCAAAGAAGATGAGGTTGCGTTTGTCGTCGGGGCAGTCGTGTGTGTGCCAGGTGGGCAGATGCCACTGCGGTTTGGCATTGCCGCGCCGGCCGCCCCCTCCACTGCAGCTCTGCCGGGCGGGCGCCGAGTGGTGCATCACGTCACCATCCTTCTCGTGGCTGGCGCGGCGCGTCGGGCGGGGCGGTGTGCGGTCACCGGATGCACCAGATGCATCGAACGAGGCAGCAACTGCCGTTTGAGGTGGGGCGAGTGACGGTGAGGGGCGGGGAGGACCCTCCATATCGCTATGCTATCTATCGGGACCCTCCTGTCAGAAAATGCGCTCAAAGCAATGCATGCGTAAGGCTAATCTTCAAAACACGGCCAGGTTTCACGTTTTCCGGCCAGGGGAGCACATTCCCGCAACAAAGATGATGATGGACACAGAGTCTGAGGCGAGCAGGACAGCGTTTGCTGAGGGTCGGAAGCGTAGGCAAAGCCGTGTGGCCATCTCGTGGACCTTCTATGCGGGCGTTCTCTGTAAGCTGCTCGTCGGCGCGTCCGTCGTCGCCCTCCTTCTGTGGACCTTCATCCAGTCTGATGTGGTGAGCTACAGGCCGCCGTGGAAGGCGCCAAATGCGTGGGGATGGATGGATGGATGGATGAATCGGGTGCTCTGTCATCTCTCCACGTGTGTGCAGGTGGCGGATTACACGGAGGCTTTCCTTCTATGGGTCAAGAACCAAGGCAAGATGAGCCCCCTGAGGCTGCGCTGTAACCCACGCATTATTGCGCTTTCAGGTGCCTGGGGTCCTGTGGCCTTCGCCCTCGTCTATGCCGTATCCACCATTGTGTTCGTCCCGGCCGAGGTGCTCACGATCGGCGGCGGCTACATCTTCACCCAGGTCTTCGGCAACCTCCCAGGCCTCACCGTGGCCTTCTTGGCCTCCCTCTTCGGTGCATACGGGTCGCTGACATGCTGCTTCCTCATCGCCAGATACATCCTCTACGGCGTGGTGCACCACTACCTCTCTACCTTCTCCGTGTTTAACATAGTGGACCGAGCAATAATGCTGAGAGGGATAAGGGTGGTGGGGCTGCTGCGTCTCGCGCCTATCATCCCCTTCACGGCGCTGAGCTACTTGCTGGGCATCACGTCGGTCACTCTGCACGATTACCTGGTCGGCAGTCTGTTCTTCGCCCCCATCATGCTGGCTTATTGCTACCTGGGGAGTATCCTGGGGGATATTAGCGAGCTGCTGCGGCATGAGGAGAAGCCTCTCCCACTTAACCCAGGTAGCCGACCCAGTACTTTGGCCTGGGTGAAGTGGAATTGATTCATTGAGTGCGTGTCTGCAGGCGCGGTGCCCTCCGGCGGCCCGCACACGTCGGTGCTGTACTCCTCCTGGCCGTATCTCGCCTTCGTGTTCGGCATCATCACCCTCGGCATGGCCCTGTACTACATCGCCGAGCTCTCAGCCGACCAGCTAGACCTCATGGAAGGGGAGGACATGGACGCTGATGCAGAAGACCACATGGTGCACCAGCAGCCGGCCCTCCAGGATGACGACATTCCTCTGTCTGAGCAGCCGGCTGCCGCTGTGACTGTGGACTACCAGGCGATCGAGGAGGACGAAGGGCAGCGAAGGGTGTGGCGGAGGGAGACGGCCGAGCATGGCCAGGCACATGTAGCCACGGGTGTTGAGAGAGGGGGGGAGGGGGAG